CAAATAAGCAGCTACAACCTTGCTCACTCCAAGTGTCTTCTAACTCGTGGCTTGCACTATACAGTCACAGATGGAGAAACATGGACCACAAGCTACAAAACTCCATATCAGATTTGCTCCCAGGAAAATGAGAAGTTGCAGAAATACTCTGTTCCTCCATACCCACAATGAAAGGAAATGGCCTTCATATATGACTACACTTTGGCCTGTGGTCTGGGAGCAGAGGGTGCACTTCAGACCTGGTGTAGTGACAGCATTTTAGTCTTTCCATACATGCCTTCCACTGGAACACACCCTGTGGGAGCAGCACGACCCTTGTAGGCTGCCGTGCAAGATCACACTGACACTGCCCAGGATCCCATTCCAGGAACTGATCCCTTTTCCATGGAAACTTTTGTAACCGCTTTTAAAAAAAGAGATTAAGTCCTTGAAGCCTGTTTGTTTTCTATTCCACATCCTCAGGCTCATATCGCTTATTATCCCTACATGTCTTCATTCACATCAATCCCCAAATGGAAAACACAGCAGACAAATTCAAATGATGGAATCATCCACCTAGTTACTTGTTTATAACTGCAGCCCCTTCCCCAAGGAATTCTGCATAGCTGCTTTTTTCATGGTCTTAGCAGTAGGAAACACCTCTTGCAGCCCTGGGATTTTGAAGCACAGCACACAGCTAGCAGCTCCTATTGGAACCAAAGCATTTATTTTAAAAGAAAAATAATTACGATTAGGCCTTTTATAACATTAAAGCTTGATCTGTCCTTTCCCTTGGCAGTTAGCAGATTCACGTTACTTAATCAAAGAAAAATTGAAACAGCTCAGGTCAAGAATAATTCTTCAATTAGCCTGGATAGGACCTGGATGAAAGGGAGGTTCCCACGATTTTTATCCTCACAGGCAGTACCAAACTTAATCCTGAGACCACATAAAGGCAGCTGTTTCTAATGCCAGAGGGCAGAGGGAGGTGTGGGCAGCCAACCAGAGGAGACTCAACTTCAAACTACATATTCGAAGGGCAACCCAAACCTTTCCCTTCCCTCTCACACAATTCACCACCCAGCAGTAATTCACAGATTATTAACTGGCCTGTTAATTGTTTGAGTTTCCTAGGTACTCTTGCAGTCAAGAAAAACAACCAAACCCAAAAGCCTTCTTCCAGCTTCTAGTGTGGGGAAACTTGAGGAAAAATACAGAGAAGTTGAAACCAGACTTGGAGAACCCTGTCTTTACTTACAGGCAGCCTGAATGCTTCTGTGCCATAACTTCCATGTTCACTGAGAATGGCTGCATTTTAACCAACAGTGATGGCCTATTTCAATGAGTTGGAGGTCATTTCATTTTCTTTGAAGATTAAAGTATCATCAACTGAGAAGACAACTCAAATGAAACATTGTCATGTCACATAGGAAATTCAGCTACTTCATTCTCCAGATCTAGCTGGCCCATTAATAATTCTCAGTTCTGACTCATTTTCCATGTTTTTGTGTGAGAACCTTCAAGCTGAGGTTTACAGATAAAATATACAATTTCAAAAAGCTTCTGACCCCCTTATATTTTACTAAAACATCCATCTTTCATCTCAAGTCAAACACATGAAAACTTAGGTATTTTCAGAAACCTTCCAAGGCAGTTAAAAATGTATATTTCAACTTTTTTATGCAGCCCAACACATGTACAGTAAAACTCTTATTTGCCCTATTGATTTTTAAAAACTGGTATGAAATACTATTAAAAATTTAAGCCAGTTTGTGAGATTTAAGAACAGGCATACTGGAAAAATTATTTCAACTGTAGTTCAGTAAAACAAACATCACCAAAGAAACAGCAAGAAAATTGAATAACTTTAGGAATCTGAGCACTAAATATTGCAGTTTTTTAGAGAACATCTGAGAAAGAGCAATTTGGTTGAAAAATACTACTAATCTTTAAAGCCAAGTACTATCCCTGTGTTTGGCAAGGGATATGCCTCCCCCTCAGAACTGGAATGGCTTTACATCTCTGCAAACCACTTAAGGCTGACACCTCTTTTCTTGTCATTTAATGCACACAGTAGGAAACAGTTCACAGTACCTAATTTCATAACAACTCTGAATAAATAGGGATCCAAAACATGGTCACGCGGCATAAAGTTAATGACAATAGTCTGTATTCGTGGGGTAAAAGAAACCATAATAGTAAATTGGTCAGTTTTGATACCTGTCCCTACCAAGTTCAAACTCTTTTCAAGGCTATACCCTAGAGAAGTGGTCTCCAAAGCCAGGTGCAGGCACCCCAAGACAATCCATTTGGGTGTAAGAAGTTTTTTTGTAAAATTAACAAACAAAATGTTATATAATTTAAAAATAGTCTTTATTTCATTTTCCTCTCATACTTTTTAAATTTCTACTCTTGTGTATGTACATAATATATTAAAACAGTGATACACACATAAATTAAGAATAAATATACACTGGCTGCACACTTAAAAGTTTTTATTGATGGGGTGTGCAATCAGAAAAATTTTGGAGACCACTGGCCTCAAGGATGCTGATATCACAGCTGCTTGCACAATCACATATCCTGTTGCTGAATTCATTTTTTAGTATCAATCTGAAATACTCTCCTCAGGACCATATTTTCAATATGCCTATTGAGATGTTTTTCCTTCAAAATACCACAGCTATAAGGACACAATGGAAATTTTGGAAAGATCAGGCTTGGAGAACACAAAGCGCTGTCGAAAAAGTATCCTTTGGTGGAATCACACTGCAGTTCCAGTCGTACAGCAGTGAAGTTACCACTAAAACATATGCTACATGAGACTGGAGCCACCCTGTCACTTGTGCAGTTTGGTAGTCGCATTTCAGTTCAACGCCAGCTCTTCTTCACCCCTGCACCCCCTTCCCACACACCCACCCCCACTGGCTGCCTGGCAGAGGTGCTGCTCTGCCAGCACTGCTTGGGGTCCCCACATCACCCACCCTGGGCCTGGAGGTGCCACTGAGGAGCTTGGGGACCGTGCCCCTCTTGAGCTGGCACCCGAGCAGTGGTTGTCCGGGCTCCCCCCGAGGCCCTTGCCACACACAGATGCCGAGGTAGCGCCCCAGGATCTCTGGCTCCCCACAGATGCAGATGATAGTGCAGGTCCCCCATGGCCACCCAGCAGGGCACAGTTCACAGGCAGCAGCTGTTCTTCCCAGCTGGTGCCTGGGGAAGCCAGCCAGCAAGTATCCCAGCATTTCAGTGGGTGTGGTAGCGTGCTGTTCACCAAGGTGGCATTTTATTAACATACAAGCTTGTGCATTTTGACATATTCCAGCACTTTAACAAATGATTCCTAAAAATATTACCTTTAAAAAAAGAAACAAGAAATGTGTATCCTGAATCCACATTCCTGTCTAGAATCCAGCACACTTATTAAAAAAAAAAACCCAAACCCTTCTGTTTTAAATAAGAAAGCAGCATATTATATTTAAAAATGTTAATCTGTGCTTCACTCTGGCTAGTTTTGTTTGCTCTCCCTTTGATCCGGATGCTTTCATTCAAGCAAAAGCAAGACTCACAGTGAATGGGGGGATGTGTGTGCACTTAAAACACATAAAAAGCGCATGTGGTAAGCCAGTGCCACACTACACATCACAGCTGGAGCTCAACTCCCAGGCCAAGTCTCCAAAACCCACCTGGTAAAACAGGGATAATCACCTGCTCCCAAGTCCACACAGAACACAGTGTCGGACACAACCCAAACAGCATCACACAATTTTCAGTTCTCAGCTGTTCAATCTGCCCCAACACCTCTGTGATTTAAGAGCACACTACTCATAGCTAGGAATTCAGATTTAGGTAGGCCTATGATGGCTTGAACATGAAAGCCTTGAAGGCTGTCTATTTTGATCTCGTTCACACCACAGATCATTTGCTCACCCTTTGAAAAAGTCCAGTAATTTACATCTGATTACAGCCTACTGAGGATACCAAGGGGTACAACCCATTACATCTCATTGTAGATTGTTAACCAGGGAATCAGTCTTGTGTTAGAAACTGAGCACATTTCTTTGGATCACAAACATTCCTAGATTCCACCTGCTGTGACTTGATAACTTTTATGCCTCATTCCCCTAAATCAGACACCAATACCACCCCGAACTGAGCAGTCAACCTTTGTTGTTATGTCACAGTTTGGTATTCCCTTCATTTACACTTTAATCTTTGAGCTTTAAAAAGAAAACTGGCAATGTGTCAAGACAGGAAGCACAACAGAAGAGCAAAACTCTAGGAAGGGACTAGAAGGGACCTCTGGTTTATCAGGTCTAGTTGCCTTCTACTCAGACACCACTTTGCATTTCATTTCTTTCATAGATACGCTTGGCTCTTCCTTCAAAGCAGGTCTCTGCCCAGAAGGCTGTTCCAGAATTAGTTCTAGTAATTAGGAATTTTGTTTCTAATCTAAATCTTATTTACAGAAAGTTTATAGCCACTTGCTTTTGTTCTAACACTCTTTCAGCTCACAGCTTCTGTCCTTTGCCTGTCACTCATATAAAAAAGTAGTATTCTGACCCCATAAACAACCACACTGCTACAGAATAAAAAAAAAATAAATTGGGGCTTACCCATGAAATTAAACTTCCAGGCATGCAGAAGATAAAATATTCAACTTCCAGAGAAGAGAACAAGGGAAAAAAACACAGGAGGGAAAAAAGCTAGTCAGAAGGTGTGATTTGTTTAGCTATCCAAAGAAGCCTTCTCTCCTCATCCTGGAAAAATGGGCTTGTAGTTATTGTCATCACTTGCTACAGAGGTGACATGCACAGCAATCCACTGTAATGCTCCACATGAAAAAACTGTACAAAATGAACTGCACAGAAGAAAGTCAATACAACTCCAGTGACCATTAAAACAAAGACCAAATCACAATTTGTCTTGTTAAAAGGAAATATGATTTTAAAAGACATACCACCCTTAAGTTTGGTACAAACAAGTACTTTTCATGACAGGAAACAACAAAAAACCCCCTAAGCTTCAGAAACAGTCTTATGTATTTCATATCTTTCTACGGATTCAATTTAGAAAACAAATTAGGAATGGAGCCAAAAAGGTCAATAAACAAACCATCCAGCATTCATTCACAGGCAACAGAAATCAAAGTACCATATGTACATAGTTCTCTCATATTATGTCCAGAAGATAGAGGCATGCAACACCATTACTGTCAACAACGAAAAAAGGTGTACATTCCAGAGCATGAAATACTTCTCCACTTCCACCAAGTTTATTGAAACCTTCCAAGTTAGGTCTGACTAATCAGCCAGTACGACGGCTGTCAGGTCAGCAAACAGACTTGCAAGTAGGTATTCTGAGTTTTAGAATCTACTTGTAAAACCCCAAGTAACTCCATCAACAAAAGTCAACAAGGGGAAAGAAAGAAGTTGTTTTCAGTTTGAGACACCCATCATTTTGTACCTAAACAGATCCAACCTGATTGACATTACTCTCATATAAATTTTCCATATTTAACACCTAATTTAGGACAGGCAAACAAGGGTGTAGAAAGCCTTCTAAGAGCTCATGAAATAAATATAGTACAACAGGTATACAAACTCATTCTGCATGTTATTTTTAGGTAGGCTACATAATTTATATTTTTACTGTGAGAACATAAAAACAAAACTGACCTTTACAAAATCATGATTTCATATAGAGTAAAACCACTTGCCCCTGCTTCTACTTCATAGTGTTTTAAAATGAACAGTAAATTGAAAGAGAGACAAAATACTCCCATTGTAATGCAAACAATAGACAGCTTTTTAGTGTGTCCTCACAATCTGGGAGAGGAAAGTCAAATTAACCTGTCATATAAAACATTTTAAAACCAGAGTTAACTGGCAGAGGAGCCTAAAAGGCAATAAAAAAGCCTCTCAGACTGAAAGAATTTCAAGGCAAAGTAAGCTTTCAAGAAAACCTCGTCCAAGTACAACGAAATGAAAACGTTCCTCATGCTGGACTCAAAACATTCTACATTTCCACAGATGAACCCCTGGTTCAGAGACCTACAACTGAGATAGCAACAAAAAGCGTAGGTCAAAGCCAAGGTATCACAAACTGTCACAACAAAGCTTGGAAAGTATTAAAAAAATCAAAGCGAGCTGCTCTGGCTTTGTTGAGCAGTAACATATGAACCTACAGTAGAGTAAATAGCATCGTTTTAGTGATAATATAAAAATAGCTTGCAAGCTAAGTTACCTTTCAGACTAAACTCCATATTTTTAGAATCATACAAACAAGATTTCAGTTTCCCAACTTATTTTATGCTTTTTAAAGCATTTTCTAAGAAATTTATTTTTGTATAGTTAAGCTAAAACCTGCCAGGTCTGCATGCTTTTTAAGGACATACCTTCTCACCTAGTAGAATATAAAAACCACAGCAAAACAGTGCAGAAGTTTGTAAAAATACTTTAAAGAAATTTACACTTCACTCTAAGATTATTCAAGTTAAGAATTAATCACCAGGTTTGACAGTATAACTCCTTTGCTTCTGTTATCCTCATTGCACATAAAAAACAAAGTTGTTATTTCTGCCAAGACTTAAAAGGGTGGATCCTCCATCTCTGCTGGTCTAATGAGCAAGCAAACACTGCTCCATAGGCAGAATCATTTTGGGGCTTCTGCAGATAGAAAAAAAAAAAAAAATCCTGAACTCACCAGAAACTTCTCACTACAAGCAAAACCTGAAGGCAAGACTTCAAAGGACTCTTAGAAGCACAGCTCCTCAGCAAAGATCAATACAGGCAGCCTTTCTGCGACTTCACAAACACTGCTTTGTATTTATGACCAGTTTTTTCTTAGCAGTGCAGGCCATGAAAGTTAGAGATCACTAGGTATATAATTTTTTTTAAAATCAAAAAATAAAGGGCAACACTTAATGCATTTCCAACTAGCAGATTTTTACTTCTGAAAACTTAAAAGCTTTCTATATATGTCTTGATTTCTAATACTGACAAAAAATAATTGACTAGTAACACACTTTTCTCATTTTCTGCAGCCTCAGAAAGTTTGTTTTAAGTTACAGTACTGCAAGGCACATACAGAATCTCTTCCTTTCCAACACAGCAGATATATTCCCTGAAATAATTTTAAAATCTTCAAAACAATTAAAAATGCTACAAAGTCAACAGTTTCTATTTAAAAAACATTGTTCCTACACAACATGCACTTTTTTGGATAACAACTTAGCAAATATGTATAAATTATTTTATCTTCTTTTCATTTACACTGGAAATAGACTGAATAATTTTTAACCTGGAAAGTACTGTATCATGTCACATTAAAGTTATTGCCTTCATTATAAATTGCATCATCTCTGAAAATCCATAAAGCTGGGGGGGAGAGACTACATGACGCAGTTTAGCCCATGTGAAAATGAGTTTCCACATAAAGCAATACCATCAGAGTAAAAAATGAACTTTCTTCATTCAGTGGATGAGGACAAGAGAAACTGATGTAAGTGCATTTGTTCAGTTTAATGCAATGTCATTAGCAACTACTTTAAAAATCTTAATTTTCTCTCTTTTGGGCAAGCATATCTTACTATGAAAGCAACTGAATTTTTAAGAGGTAGTTTTTCTCCATTATGCGCTTATTTGTTTCAAATAAAACATAACCAAAAAAAACCCACCAACATCTGCTTTTCAACGAAGATCAAGTCTCAAAAATTGGTACAATATCTGACAAAGTTCAATATTTTATTTGCCCTCAGCAGTACTGGGCTGCTTCAGAACCAGTGTATTCCAGGTTGTCTTCGTAGTCAAAAGACTAATCTACCAATGGTACTGAACCCACCCCCTCCTCCACCTGTGGGCCCACAACTTCCAGGGGGGTCGTTGTCATCGAATCCATTGGGTCGGAAAGAGCACGAGGCTGAGGCAGCTTGAAGTGCTTGTGTTCGAGCACTAAGCTCTTGCTCCTGAAAGGGAAGAATAAGGACAATTCAAAAAACAGAACCCCCTCCCGACCAATTGAGCCCTTGAAGCAGCTTATTTCTAGTAAATTTTGAAACAGCTTTTAAAGCAATGTCATTAACTCCAGGACTCCTAAGTGTGAACAGCTTTGCTGAACTTCAAGTTGAACTTTCACAGCCAATCCAAGATGAACAGTTTCCTTAAACATCAGTAATTGTAAATGAAACATAATTAAATCCATTCAAGTTTATGCTAAAATCGTGTTCTATAGCGACATGGGATGTTAGTAAAAAATTTGACTGCAGAAGTTAACAAAGCATGAGTTTTTGATCCATTTCACATGAGTTTTCATCCTTGCAATTTTAAAATGGCCTTGTTCTTGCAAAACTGGAAGATAAAAACCATTAAATCAATGTTAATTATTTAAAAGACTTTTTTTATTTCACTCAATCAACTGCATAGACTAACAACCTACTCAGACAAAAGGCAAGGAGATGGACAAGCTATCTAGTTTCTATTTGTTGCAGCTTTTTAGCTTTCAAGTATTATTGCTACACTAACTGTTATAACATTAGTAGGTCTTTCCAACTCTCAAGCACTTCATAAAAATCAGTCAGCTACTGGAAAACATACCTGCACAAGTGGAAGGAACAAGAAAGCTCTGCCTCCTGACAGTTGCTTTTTTAGCTAAATGCTCCTGAGGCTTAAGACATCTAAGAAGGGGAAAAGCACAGGCTTCTCCCTCATTAGAGATATCATACCCTATTTTGTCTCTGGCCAACCAATTTAATAAACCTCACAGCATTTTTTTCTCTTTAGTACCCATTCTCAAATCAGCCAACAGCTTCAAAAAATGAAGGAGAGAAGGCAAGTGTCAGGCTCTGAAAGACTCACGGGAAAAAGACAGTGGACCTGTACAAGCTTTACTCCTTTAGAAAACAAACTGATAGTATTGAGGCACTTAAGGCTCGCACCAACATCCTCCTTCACATGACACCTCATCACTACACACCTCCCCAAGGCAACGGCAGCAAACTTTAAACAGGATTTTAGTAATTATACAGGTCACCTTGGATTGTTCCTTTTCTTCACCACCTCCTGGTGAAAGAAAGGAACAGAGCCAAGAACCTGGAAGATTGACTGTATTGTCCCACCAGGAAAGCACTAAACTTACGTCTCATCCATGTACAGATGCTAAAAATAGTCCTTGTGGGTTTAAATTACTTTGCCCTCTTCAAAAAATACAGCCTAAGTTTGAAACTATATGACACTACTACAGACTGAAATGCACACTCATTTCCAAAATTATCTAAGATATTTGGAGGATACTGTCTACATTGGCAATATTCCTCAAAGGTAGTATTATGCTATCTCCAGCCATATGTGGATTTGTAGGTACCTGGTTAACTATATGACATATCAAAAACTAAGTAAATTTACAGGGAATAACAAGGAAATATGAAGAACTCACTTCCAGTATCAGAAATCAACCAAACATTTTGTTTAAAATAGCAGATCTTGTATAAATAGTCTGTTAAGCTGGAAAAAAAAACAAACTAATGCCAAGCTGTTTAGCTTAGAACAAAATTTCTTCTCAAAAGTAAACAGCGAGAAACTCACTACACTGTACCTAGGCTGATTTTTATTTTTGTTTTTGATAAAATATTTCAGAAAAATATTAGTTTTAATGTAGCACTACACCAAACAAAAAAATGCAGTTTTCCATCCTGCCTCCTTCACTTTCATCCCTCCAGAGAACTGTTTTCTGGCAACTTTATGCCTCTTAAACTCCAGTAGTTTAGCTTTCCCTAACAAACCAAACTATAAAAGAACATAAGCATCAACAATAGGTTTGCAGCTATATTAAATAAAAATCTTAAATTATAGAAAAAAGAAAACTACAGTATTACAGCTAACATTTTTTTTTACCAGGTTTAGGCAGAAACACAATTTATTTTTATGGCCTTCATGCAGTTACTGACTTATGTGCAAGGGTTGAATCCCACAGCTCTGGAGACACTCATCATGTTTGGTACAGAGTCCGACTGAGCTGCAAGCACAGCTTGTGTCAACCACTTAGAAATGCTCTTCAGAAGCAACCATAATGCACTGAGAATAGAATAAACCTCAGCTGCGATCTCAGCTTCATTGCTAAGTGCACAAAGGGCTTCCATAATGGATGGAAGGTATCTCTTTATATGCACACACACACATGAGAAATATGGAGCAGTGATCAAATCAAACTAATAAAGTTTTTTGGCAAGTATTAGTATTTAGAAACCACACACTATTCGTGTATTCAATGCTAAAAGTGAATTATTTGGCAATTAGAGATCTTCCATGCATTATTCCTGCTCAGCACTTTGTGATAAATGAGCATTTTTCTTTCATCTCTTGAGGCATATATTGACTTAATTAATATTAACCTACAACCTACAATAAATTGTTCTAATATAGCACACAGCACCAAAATTTTTACAAACAATAATCTTGTTTCTAAAAAAACCCCAAATGTTGCATGTTTTCAGCATGATTATATTAATGTCAACAAACATTAAATCAGGTAAATAAAACTTGATAGTCAATACAGTTCTCTGGATTGAGAATAAAAAAGAGCATCCCCCCTTACTTCCCACCTGTTCCCAGAATGAGTTTTTTAATTTGTTTTAAATGGAGTGGGGGCTACCCACATTACATGTTTAGTTATTTAAAGTGAAAACATCTTAGTTTATCATGTGGTGAACTCATATGTAACAGCAAAACAAAAGTAGTAAGGTAGAGAATTTTTTAAACTTGTTTTCTTAAAAAAAAAAAAAAAAAAAAAAAAAAAAAAAAAAAAAAAAAAAAAAAAAAAAAAAAAAAAAAAAAAAAAAAAAAAAAAAAAAAAAGGGCTTTCTCAGGGAGAGAAAAGTAGATTCTTAACTTAGCAGTAAATTACTAGTTAGGAACTTTGAACCAAAAGAAAAAAAGAGGGCAGTTAGACTAGATGTGAGGAATACATTCTTTACAGTGAGGGTGGTGAAGCACTAGAACAGGTTGTTCAGAGAGCTGGTAGATGACTCATCCTGGGAAACATTCAAGGCCAGGCACGATGGGGTTTTGAGTAATCTGGTCTAGTTGAAGACCATCTTTACTCCTAGCAGGGGGGTTGGACTAGATGATCTTTAAAGGTCCCTTCCAATCCAAACTACGCTGTGATTTCACAATCAGAGATTGCTGCTACAGAGGCCAAGAGAAAGTCGAGCGGAGATGTGGCACATGAACAAAGACAGTCAGGGCACAAATGCTTTAACCACACGGTTTGCAAATGGCAGCAGAGTTAAAATTTTAACTCTTAGTTCTCTTGTTCACGTTTGCAAAATACCAGCAAACAAAAAGGAGACTACAGTTAGGGGAAGTTGTGGGATCACAGGCAACGCACAGTTGGCAGTGTTGGTCCCACAGAGAGATAAAGAATAGGCAGCAAAGGGAAAACGCAATCTAGTCACCAGCATTCATTCAGTTGTTTCAGAATTTGGGTAGGCACGGTTGTGTAAGTAAAACTTCATTACAAATGAAAATGCACTATTAAGAACACCACTTAGAATTTTTATAAGTATAAAGGCAATGAAAGTTTGAACCATTTGAAGCCTCTCCTGTATAGAATGAGTGACCTATAGGACCATCTCCACTAAAAATTTAAACTGAAATGAGTTTATGCTGTTCTCCTTGACACTTCCCATCTAATAGTGATAATCTTACCATGAAACCTGTTCAGCAACATCATGATGGAAGCCAGGCTGGTGATCTATAAGGTTAATATACCAGAACACTTAAAATCTAACTTGTTGATTCCTTTAGACTGCCTGTTGTGAGGCTTAAGACCACCACCCCTCACACAAAATTTCCATCTTACCTGCAAGTACAGTTTGTTATCTTTTGTAATTGCATCCATGAGGTCCTTTTGTAGAGGAGGGTCTCCATTTACCCAGAGTCCATTTGCCGGATTGCTGCTGAAGCCACAGGTGCTATTTTGCTTTTTGTAGAACAGAACATAAGCAGTGTCCTTCGGAAATCTACTGGTGATTTTCTGGACTGACTGAAATGAGGTAAATGTCACTCTGCTGTCATTGAACAGAAACCATTCTCTTGACATCTCAGTGTCCAGCTCATTTTCTACGACAGTACAAGGACTCTCCTCTGTCAACAACTTATCCTGAGGAGAAACTAAAGAAAGAGCTGTAGACTGGTGGCAGAGCCCTGAAGGCCCTGACCCAGAAACATTTCTAGCATAGGAATAGTAATGTCCGCTTTCAGAGGATACACCAGAGTGCACTACCACAGAACTTAGCACGTAGGGCACCAGTTGTGTGCAGGTCACTTCATCAGCACCTGAGGGCTTCAGTTTTTTAGCAAGATTTTCTCCAGTATCAGAAATCTCCACACCAACAGACCAACCTCCTGGAACTACTGCTAGAGGGGATGTTAGGCTTTTGACTGGCAGTTCCAAAACAAGTGGTAGAGACACATTGTCCAAGATTTTACGCCTTATATGACACTTTGGATCATATGAAAATCTCAAAAGAGTGAGAATGAGGTATTCAGGTTCCTCAATGATTTGCATAGTTTTCTCAGCATTCTGTAGAGAGGCACACTTTTCACAATAATACTTATTGTCTCCACTAAGGATCTCAGGTGCCAGAAAATAATTGAGTAAGTCTGTAACCGACAGGGTGCTTTTACCTACTAGAGTCTGAGACATATCCCTATTAGTCTGAACTTGCTTGAGTTCAGAAATTGTGGTGTTCTCAGAGTTCGGCTCAGTAGAAAAATCTTCTATGGTTCCTTCATTCATTATCGTGTCACATCCACTATTTACATCCAAATTATTGAGAGGTGTTTCTGCAGCAGGACTGGTTGCCAAAGTATTAGTTTGCACCATGTAGTCATCTTTCACTTCAGAATGTTCCATACATTTTGGGCCATTCTCCAAGGAAGTTGGAGGACAGAAAGCCAGAGAGAGATCTGTGAAAGCCTCTTCCTTTTGAGACATACTCTTGCAGTTCAAACAGCATATGGTAGTCTTCAATTTTCCTCCAAACATCTTCTCTATCAGAGTTCTTTCTTCACTTCCCATACAAGGTGCTTCAGCAAATACTTGTGTTTTTTGGACAGCTTCTTGTGCCTGGGACTCTTCATTCATTATACTTTCAGAACGCTTTGCTGAAGACAATGCTTTCAAAGTTTTCTCTTCTTCATGCAGTCTGAACACAAAGAAAAATAAATGTAAGTAACTGGGCTATTTTCCAAACAAATATTGTTGCACTATTTCACTTTTTTTCCCAGCTTTGCTAAAAATTACAGATGGCTAAGTGGCTAGAAGTGTCTTATAAGGAAAAAGCTGTTGGTTATTTTTTATACAAGCAAGTTGAACCACAGAGGCCTGTGCTATACGAGAGTATGAGAGGCACAAAATGCATTTAGTGTGGGTCTTATTATATATAACAGAACACAATGGATATATTGAAAGAACTGGTAAGTATTAAAAAAACCTAACAATGTTTTATTATTTACCATTACATTATCTTAATAAATCAGCTCTCCAGTTGACTGGTTCTGTATGTCAGATTTTGTAAGAGAATAAGCAGCTATTTATCTTCTGCCAGACTATTTCCAAAGAAAAGGTCAACATTCTGAAGCCAGGAAAGTTAAGAAACTACAGCAAGAAAAAACAAACCAAAAAAGAAACCCAAAATGGAGGGGAAAAAAAAATAAAGAGAACACTATTTCACTATTGAGATAAACTTCTTCAGAAGTGTAATCTGTCATAAAGCAGTAATGCTTAAGCTACATCTCAGCAAGCCAAAAATAAAGAGGGCTACTAATAAATTTAGGTATTTTTGTTTTATCTCTGCCACAAGTTATTTGCTTGCTTATTAACTGGTTATAAATGCATATACATCTCTGTGACTTCTGGGGCCTGTATGAAATAGAGTTGTCTCCACCAACATGAAATTCTGGGAGCACAATTAAACTGCTTTCAGCAGCCACAGAAATTTTACAACAGGACCACGACTCTAAACATAATACCCATGTTAACATTTGTAAAAGTGGGACATTGTTACCACTATAACCTGTTTTCAATTATGTGGATACTAGATGGCATCCACACTTTACCACAGATTAAGTCCATGAAGAAAAGCAGTTCATGGACCATACAGAAAACCAAAGAAAGACAGGAATGAGGCTGCAAATTCCTGATCCCCACTCAAGCAGTGGAACTGTTACACAACTGCTCCTAAGAGTTCAATACCGTGTGGTAAGACTGTAAATTCATTCCCATTAATGGCACAATACCCATACCTGTCTAGCAGGAATCTGAGGTATTCAGAGCAATCCTGCTGGGATCGAGGGGTGAACCATGGTGGCCTGGAAGCTTCAAAGAAAATCCTAGGAGCATATGCCTCCCTCTGTTCATGTAAGAGAAGCACAGGCAAGGTCACATAAGAACTTGAAAAATTGGTTATATTATTTTAATACTGACCACTGAACTTTGGACTACATTATTCTAGAGCAACTGAATGAAACACATGATACACAAACATTTAAGTAACTTAATTATACAAAGGGAGAGCCATTAATTTTGCAGCAATCACCTCTAGTACAAAGATAAAAACAATTGATCCTGCAGGCAAATATGAAACGTGTAGTGAGTGTAAACCAGATTATTATGTATAATAACCTGTTCTTGCTGATGAGTTAAAAAAACCTGTTTTCTTTCTTCAGAACACCAGTATTTCATAAGTACTAATTTATTTTTAAACCGATCCAGCCTCACTCCCTTCTTAAGTTCATTTCTATTATTCAAAGTGAACAGAAGCGTCTTATGTCTTTCTAGTATTAATAGAATGTTCTGAGCATGTAATAAAGTTCACTTTAGAATTCTAACTACAATAAAATTTGGTGTAAAAATCACTGCAGGAAGTCAGTTTGTCCTAGAAAGTTACATAAAGTCAGCTTGTATATCACATCAGGTCTTACTTGGATTTTCTCATTTTGGCTTCTCAAAGAAAAGGTGTTTCTGCCCACTTATAAAAACAACAAAATGCCACTTATGAAATACACCTCTCTAAGTCTATCCACACCATCTGAACATTTGGAGACAGACTCATTCCCATAGAAACCTATAATATTTATATTTAATATACTCAAGAGGACTCCCATGGCATCATGTTCATTACCATTTTGGTATACAGATGGAGGCTTAAAAACAGTAGATGAAATAAACTGACGTACCTGTGTATGGGCCAAAAATGCAAAAAGATGCTGTAATTTTCTCATTAGTGAATTACAGCCATTTAGATTCAGAGATAAAACATGTCTTCTGAAACTAAAATGAAAGGGAGAGGCATTAGTATCCTTGCTAGATTTCTAACAATGCAGTTATCATTCCAGCTCAGATAACTATTTTAAATTCAAAGACCACAAAATAAGTAATACTTCCCTTTAATACCTGGACTCTGCTCTAGTCCAGATGCAAAACTACTGTCCAGTAAGAACTAAGACTGCAGAACACCTATTCCTTTAAACATTTAAACGAGTAAGAATGGACTATAGACAGACAACATTTTTTCAATACCTTCCAGATTATCACAAAAACATCACCATAAACTTTTACAATACTGAAGAGAGCAAGGACACTGAGGAAAAAAGGACTTGTCTTTTGACACTCGACAGAAGGATCAGGATTTGTAATGGCTAAAATTGCAATTTCACAGAGCTGAACTATTACAAAGCTGAGTGCAAAGAAACCCACTCAGTTCTAGCAAGCTGAGAGACCCTGGGACATGTTACTATTCTGTGAAAATTAAGAATGCAATAACTGCAAGACTTAATTTGCAATGTAGAGCTGTTAAGAACAACTTACTCTGTAGCCATAAAAAGTGCCTGAATAACACTGTTCATGTAGCAAGTATTTCCTAAATTTATTAGACCTGTCTTCCCAGTTTCAGATTTTCCAGAAAGTCTAGATAAACAAGATGGCAAAGAACTGGATTGAGAAGTCCAAGCACTCTGACTGAGAATCATCTTAATCTTCTCTTCAGTGGGTTTGGGCATATCCTACAAGAGAAACATTTAACACACTACTTAGGTTTTTGTATTTGATTTTATAATACCTCCTGCCATTCAGCAGTATTCTATCTTCCCTTGGTCCCCCACTCTCCTTTAAGGCCTTGCTATCCCTGATAGCCTAAGAGATACATCACCCACTCCCCCTCCCTGCCCCAAACCCTCTCCTTCTAAGCTTTCTTTACTCAACTCTCAAATTGCAGGAAATAAGGGGCATTTGGAGTTAAACTGATAAGGGCTTTTAAGTGTCAAAACATTTAACTGCAATATCAGTGATGTAAAATAAGGTATTAATACTCAAGTGATCTTTGTGGGTTTTGATTGTTGGGTTTGGTTTTGGTGGGTTTTATTTTTTATTTCTTTTCAATTTTATTTGTTTAGGAGTGTTGGGTTTGGACTTCTTTTTAATTTTTTTTGAAACAGTATAGGCCAGCATCCCTTACCCACAGAGGCCTGCAATATCCACTGCAATAACAATGATGTTTGGGAGCTAGCCCAAGGTCACCACCATCCCAAGTACTTCTTCTCATCAGTGCTCTTAACTTATATTTGAAGCTACAGATTCTAGCTTGGGTTGAAATGAAATGCCTAGAATAAACTTCACAAAAGTGTATTGGTTGTTATATAAGGCTTTAGAAATTAGTTTGTACTCTGAATAAAGGATCTCATGTCAGGTTTTTTTTAAAGTCTGCTATAATCCTATCACAGACACTCAGGCAAATTTTTCTACCATATTACAAGCACAATAAGAATTGACATGAGATTATATGGTTGGCTCTTGTCTCCCGGTGGAAGTGCTAAAGAATTTAGATAAGTGGAATTATAGTTTCGTACTTGGAAAAACAAAGCAAAAACATTCCACCCTCTCAACATTACTAACGTACCTTAATAGCTTCCAGAATGGGTTCATAGAGCTCTGGAAATCCTGAATAATGATACATCATACAGTGTATCAACTCAGACAACTGCAACAGAAAGGCTCTACTGGAAGGCAAGCCATCCCTTTTGAAGGAGTGAACCAAACTGACCACGTGTGGGACAATCTGAACGGGGAAACAAAGAAACAAATAGAAAGGTGTTATTTGCATTCTCCTATTTTTCTTTCTTTCTACAAACAACTTCATTGTTTTATATATGCCAAATGACAGGGCACCCTTTGTTATTAAATAAGAAGTGGTTGAGAAACAATGACTTGAAAAATGTGCATTATTCTTTACCCATGACAATTTTCAAGCAGCACAATTAATTATTCAATGCTCTCTTTAGCTCCCATAGCAAGTTTTGGAACTTTATGAACTTAAAAGGTGCACGCTAAGATTTTAAGTGGTCAAGTGTCCAAAGTATTCATCTTTTTAAGGATATTAACTGCCAACGTTTTGCTTGTGTGCCACCATTAGCAGTTTAGTATCCTGTTCTAATTTCACAGATACGGTTTTTAAAGCAAACCTCCCAATTTTCCTTCAACAGAATCTAATGCTTGGGATCAAAAGGCAATGAATATATTCCTGCTATTCCAGCTTGCAATAGGGAAACCGGTTCACAGCTCCACCTAGCGAGGGAGCTCAGCTCCACAAACCACCTAATGTAAACCACCTGATCTACTATCAACTCAAAAAGTTTATCACAGCTGTGGTCATCTATTTGTGCATTAGTTCTGATTCATTACTATTTTAAATTGGGTATAAATCAGAAGTGTTTACTCCATCTCCTTCCCCTTCTTCAGCACAGCTCTTTATTCTTAAGTCCATAAGACTTATTTTATATAGTCTTCATTTACTTAATTAATTTATTTCTAAGCAGTTCCCAATGAGTAGGAACTTCTCACTGTGAACCAAAATATTTCAGACACCTTTGCCAGTTTCCAAGTGATCAAAATTGATTAACTTTGAAAGAAGTTGACGGAATAATTACTCATCACTAATTACTACTTAACAATTTATAAGGTAAAGACATGAAATACAGAACAGAAATTATAAGAATATTGTAATTTTAAGAAAGTATACCAATTACAAGAATTAACATACTTCAAAACACCAAAGTGAAAGGGGACAGGTGCAAAATACTAATTTGCCACTTTTCCAAATACTGTTTTTCCTCTGAGTATAAGAAATACTTTTACATCTCTGAGAAACAAACCCTACTCTTTTCAGGTAAGGAAAATATCCACTTCTTAAAAGACAAACACCAAGAGGAAGAGTTCAATGTACTACAGAGTCAACAGTGAAAGTTGCAATGCAAACACTCCCTCTTTCAGTTTAAAAAATCCAACTAATTTATGCTAATGATGCTCAAGTATAAAGAGGGGTAAAATTTTATTTCAGATGCACTGCCAAATAAATTATATTTATCAAATGTGTATTCAACCATTTTACAGTCAGACTATTTCTTATAAAAAAGAAAACAAGTAGTTTAGGCGGAGGAAAATACTACAGAATACTAAATGATAGCAGTAGCTCAAAAAATGATACTGAAGATGGTTTAAAATGCAGCAAGAACAGTCAAGAAATTCTGAAGAGAGATGTTTATGCAGTACTGCACGCAGCCTACAGTAGAAATTTTCTTTGTTAAATCAAATTCCTATTTCTAGAATAAGCTCTTTCATATTTTACATTTTTCTTCGTGTTTTGTCTCTCTCAGGAACAAAGAAGAAAAGTAACACAGTCAGTATACGAAATATTTATATGATTTGAGCATACTCAAGGCTACTTGGCTTCTTCATTTGTGACTCAGATTTTTATCCTAGGCCAAAATTAGGGTGGTGGAGGGAGGAGAGAGAAACTGCAGACACCTATCATTAAAAAGCAGTGTAAGAGCCATAAGGCAATTACTGTGAAATTAAACAAAGGGTTTGATATCCCTTCAGAGCCTTGCAGACAGCAGTGTGCCAGGCTGTTACTATTAAATCTCAGACATATTTCACTTAAAGTTTAACCTGAAAACTGAGTATGGGATCATCTTGCTGTATTAATACAGTCACTGTGATACCCTCTATCTCTGGCCTTAACTAGCGAACTGCATTTTGAAGAGGGGCCATTAAAAATAGTCTCCTTCCGTTTTTCTACATGTGCACTGAAACACAGATAGCACAGCTTTCTTGAGGTCAAGTATTTCCTGGTCTCAGGAACCTTTTGAGAGTGACTAGGCTACTTAGAGAAGATAACTGGTTATCTCTTTTCCCCAGACATTGTGCTTGAAAAATCTACTTGCAGCCCAACTTTATCAGCTATTCCATAAAATGGATTTTCATACCACATAAAATGGATTACCAGCAGCACACAAACTGTGGTGCCCAAATACTAGTGCCAGAAATATGTAGGTACAAGGAAGAACAATGCTTGCTTCCAGTTATGAATGGGGCGAATATGGAAGCTAAAAAGTCTAGTGCTCTGTGACCACAGGAACCTGATTCTAGCACCTTCAACAAAGACAAAACCCACGTGCACCAATTCTATTACTCTTTTTGTTACACTTTGGAAAACCCACGAGTGACATTTCAAAGGACTGAAACCCATTTATTTAGTAACTTACCAAATGAAAAGCTTCTGGAGAATGCTGAAAACTAAGTAACATGTGCGAAAGGACAGCAAGGGCACCAGGCCTCACTAGAGGAAACCAAAGTCGATTAAAGACCTAAAAAAAAAAAAATCACACATTTATTTCAGTAAATCCGTAAAGTAAAATTTCAGTGAACATGTAAGCAGATCTGCAAATACACAACCATTTGAAACAGACAATCATTTCAGGCAACTGAAAGCCACAGATACATTTACGTGATATTTGCAGAATAAGAAGATGTTATCTTGCAATACCGAAGATGTGAAGCAATTGCGTAGCTGTTACAAATTCCTTTCCCTCTCCTTCAGTTTTGAATGCACTTTTCCAACATACCAATTCGATCTTAAGCAGAGTGACATCAATGAGGATGGTAAATTTCTGGACTGCAGCCAATCCTTTCAGCAGTGCAATCACCCATGTTTCCACATGCTGAGCCAGAGGCCAGGATAACCAGTCAATCATTCTGAAAGACAAATCAAGACCAAAAAAAATAAAAATACCAATATGTCACTAACTTTAATCTCCACAAAAAAGACTATATATATTACACACTTACACAGAGACTCACAAGTTAAACAAGCAGTAAAATAACTTCAATTATACCTCAGGTCATTTAACTTTGAAATTAATAATGATCTATTTAACACATTAGAAGTAAATACACATCCCCCCAAATACATAAGCATATGAAATTAATTATTATGTATTGTTACTTGTTATTCAAGAATATGAGCCATGACTGCATAGACATTAAGCTAACATCTGGCAAAAACTTACTGCTGAAGGTAAAAAAAACGTGCCTGTACCTGAGAACCTTTCCTCTGACACCTTTTACCCCAAAGCAGACCAAACCAAACTATTAAGGAAGCTTCTTTAACTTACAACTACATTCTTGGAGGCTAACTCAAATACTCTCAATCAAAATGGTAACATCTAGTAATTTTAAATACGTTGCAGAAGGTGTTATAAGGATCTTATAAGAGCTATCAGCAGCCTGGGGTCCACATGAGCCTCGAAAGTAAGAATTTCACTAGAGCTAAGAAAAATAAAAAGTGAAGGGACTTCCTGGGCCTAAAAAATACAGTGAGATATCAGCAACAGAAAATGGAGGTATTCTATCCTTCTACATTAATAGACAAATTATACTCATCCTTGAATAGATTAGTTGAAGCAGTTCTAAGACAATACTGCAAGGCAGTGCCGGCTAAAACATGAAATGTAGGCTTTGTTCCTTTAAGATTTACTTGGCAATATTTTGGATTTTTTTCAACTGTCTACACGCTCTCCTTCTCCAAATCAGATGAGGCAGCAGTAATTAAGTGGAGGGAAAAACTTTTTACCATGAGGGTGGTCAGATATTGAGAGCAGTGACTGAGGCTGAGCTGCCTCTACCCTTGCAGAAAGCTCTTAACTCGGATGGACAAGGCACTGAGCAATGTCTGACTTCGAACCTGGCCCTGCTCCGAGCAGGACTGGACCAGATGACTTTGAAAGGCTCCACTCAACCTCCAGAACACTAAAATTCTATTCCATAATGCAGTGAAAACAAGAAGTTGAAGCTGTATTACTTGACTACCTTTTCTGAAAAAGTTCCTCATAAAGACTGATTATTTTAAGAGACTAAATTCTAGCGTGGAACGGAACAGGCTGCAAGTAACCAGTCTAATAAACAGTCACTATCACTACAAAAGGGCAGTTAGTCATTATCAATCTGAAGCAAAACTATCAGCCCCTGGTCTCTCTCTGGAGATTAAGAGTTCCAAACAGACTGAAATCAGGGTTTCAGTCCTCAGATGCCAAATTAAAAAGACAATCATGGTCTTTAGCAACACCAGACGTGTATTCTGGACATGCTGTATTACCAGAAACACCCTCAATTTACACAGAGTTTATAATTAGGATCTGAAAAATGTGTAGTACTATCTGCACATATAACATTCAAAGGTTTCTCTAATATAAGGCATCTTTAGAATTGCCTTTTTAACAAAGTAGCAGAGATCTCACCAAGTTTCTTCCATGTTACTGCAAAAAAAAAAAAATTGTGAAAAAATATGGCAACATCATAACCACTGCTCTGAATTTACACAAAGCTCTCATTTCCTCAAGATGTTAAATTCAAATGTTTATTCTAAGCACTCTTTCCATATACTTTTTAAAATGGAGAATCAAAAAATGTAAGCCAAAACTGCTTTTGCCTGCTAAGAGAGAATCTTAACTTAAAAACAGACCCCAAAACTCCTAGTTCTTAAGTCTTCAAATCTTCCCCTCCCCAGTTTGTAGGTTTGATATTTTTCAGCAGTGGCAAAACACCTGCACAGCTAATTTAAGCCTAATGACAATATATTTGGTTTTCTTAATTAGGTTTTTACACAAGTAAAGAGTATCTCAGTATTATGTGCACTTTCAACCACACTGACTCACAAACTCCAAGTGAAAAACACTGCTTTTGGGTGGGAGCTGGGGCTCCTCTAGTTCTATGCCATTGCTCTGGACACAGGATGGGCCATGCTGTGTCATCTCTAGTTAGTATAAGTAACTATTTAACTATTCACCATTGTTACCAATAGGACAACTGCTGTTGATTGAGTATGATGAGCCTTGTAAAGAGGAGCCTCATTCTTTCTGTAATTGATACAGACATAACACCCATCCTTAAAATCTGTTTTTGCTCTTAAAGCAAGAGTTAATGCTCTTAGGAGCAGAAACACAAGCCAGAAGAGGAAACAGAAGTAACTTGTAGACACACTTGAGACTGTCCCAAAAAGCATCAAATTTCAGATCTGATAGGCAAAAATTATGTATTTTAGTTACTAAATTCTCTCTGCATTGCATTTACTTGGCTCCTGCTCTGTTGCAACCAATGACCACATTTTTAATACAAAGGCAGATAATCATGAGCATGTCTGTTATCCATGTACATGCCTAATAAGGACAGCATTTTTGATATCTCTAACCCCCCCCCCAACAATCTATTAACCTTTTCATTGGAAACTATTTACTACTCTGTGTTCAACTTCAGACAGACTCTGCAGTGTCATGGAAGTTCTACTTAAGAAGTGAGCAACAAGGTCTCTAATTTGTAGTCACCAAAGCTCTTCTGCCTCTCACCAGGAGACCTTGTTGTGCCTGGAGTTCTGCACCTCCTGGGAATGCTGCATGCCTGATGACAGCATGGTCATTTGGTGCTCCGGACATTCCAGCTGCATTAACCTCTTTACAACTGCTCCACTAAGGCAGAGGAGAGTAAACACTGCAAAGGGTTGCCAGAGGTAGAAAAAGAAACTGGATACGGTGTTGACATGAGTATCCACAAACAAAATAACAAGGAGTATCTAAGAAGTTCCATCGAGTATTACTTCAAAGAACGGACAGGGCAAGTAAGATTACACTGCCCCTCCAAAAACAAGAAGGAAAACCCCCACCATATGGCAAGTACTAAAAAAAAAGAGCACTACTTGGATAATGACAGCTCCTATTGTAAGCAAAGCTCAGCACTGCATTACTTCCCTAAGCAGAGGCACACAGGGGAGACATTCTAAAGCTAAAATTACCTGATCACACTGTGTTAATGCAGTAATACAATATAAATGTTAAAATTACACTAACATGAAAATTAATCTCCAGCATATTACTCTCAAATTATTAGCAGGCACAAATCCTTCTGAATTTCCCAGCTCTGACTTTTAGACTGGGCACACAGCTTTGGTAAAATTTTTTAGCCAAGTAAATTCTTTTAAAGTGCCTAAACAATGTCTTACCCCAAATTATACTATTATTGCTGCTTCTTTTCATTATGTTTTCAACTGAAACATAGCTTCTCAATTTAATGTAAATACCAGGAATGTTTTCAGTGTGAAAAAACCCTCACTATTTCACCTAGATATAAAAGTGCTACATTACATGAATGTTTAGGAATTACACCACACAAATGGATGTACTAAAAAATAATATTGCAGACATTAAACTCTTAGTTAAAAGTAATTTCTTAGAAGTTGGTTTTTTTTAATAAAAAATTCTAACAGCATCCTTTTTAACTGCTTTACTCATTCTTCTACCCCTCAGTACTCAGTAATTTCCACAGGCTTTAAAAAATAATTCAAAGAACTTCAAGGTCTTCATCTTTCTCCCCCTGCCATCTTTCTGCATCACTATTATTCACGTCTGAAGGTACTAAGATATGAAGACTGCAATCTGAGTTGCAGTCTGTTAGCACTGCCTCTAATCATCATGCATACTCAAGGTTAGATTAGTCACAAACAATATGCAATTGCTTTTACTTCATTCTTATTCCTCTGTCATACAAAGAACAACCAAAAACCCTCTGAGGGCTTGAGTGAAGATGTAATGTTCTCTGTGAATCCCACTAAAAAATGGGGAAGATATCTAAGCAGAAAAATCCTCAAAACTAAGCAGTAAAACTAATTTCTGTCTCCTCTCTTCAAAGAAGAGGATGAGTAAGGAGTTGATGGATAAGACAATCACATGAGACCACCTTGCTTCTTGGAAAAGCAGAAAGGTTCATGTTCTGAAAATACAGGCTTGTTTATCCACTTGACTGTAAAGCCCATGAAGTTTCCTATTTATGCCATTTTCTGTATGGTGGGAAACCTACACATATCATCTAAAAGGAACACAGATGGCTTCCTCCTAGATTTTCTATTTAACCCTCTTCTTCATCCACTCTAGTAAAGCATGAGAATGAAGCAGAATAACAATGAAGGTAGCAATCTTCAACTCAAACCATGCCAGTAATATCCACGGCATCATAAATACATTACATGTCAAGCAGCATGAACTGGAATATCATTTTAAAGTTCATCTTTTTATGTCTTTTTTTGTTTAGCTGGGTTTTTTTTAATGGAACCTAAGTGACAAATAACTTCAAAAAAAGGAAAGATTAAGAAAGAGACTCTTCTCTCCCTTTACAATGACATGCATTACCTGCACAGAGCTTGAGTCATACTTGCATCTTTCACATTTGGATCTGTGGTAAGGCTCCTGATGAGTACTGTAATCATCTGTAGTGGTATGTGCTGCACAAGACTTGCCAGTGCAACAGAAGGTTCGAAGGAAGTATCTGTAACAGTCAAACATGACACAATGTAAGAAACTAAAAAGAAAACCCCACAGGAAAAAAGTAAGATTTATGATTTATCTTCTATCCAACAACTTGACTACAGTTGAAAAGTGAGAATTAATCTATCCTACATCTATCATCACAAACCAAACCAAAATTAAAACATTTCAATTAATTAAGGACAAGGGACAGCACTGAATTACAAACTCCTTCTGTTCATTTAATACACATGCAAGCAAGTGACAATCTGCTACCTTCTTCCTCAGCCCTAAATGGAACTGAGAAGTAGGGTTTATATTTTTGTTAAAAAAAAAAAAAATTACCATACAGTTATACTCGATGTTAAGCCTAAGGATTTAACATAGCTGACATTTCCCATGTCCTGTCTTAGCAACTGTCTGCTAACCATACCAGTTATGGCAAAATATGATGTTAAGTTTCCCAGGTACCCCACTGGTAAAGGCACTTTCCCATGGAAACCAATATGGTACTTTACAGATTTCTGAGGTCAGAGAGGGCCTATTTGCAATCACATTTCCATTACTCAGGCACTGAATGCTTCCTAAAATAGCCAGGTTTTATATATTTCTTTCATAACCCCCAATTTGGTAAACAGTTCCAAGATTTGAGGTATCTCTCTTGAGGAAGCAATGAGGAAGAGTAGCTTCTCACAGAATTGTTAGGGTTGAAAGGGATCTCTGGAGATAATCCAGCCCAATCTCCCTGCCAAGGCAGGGTCACCCAGAGCAGGTTACACAGGAACACATCCAGGTGGGTTTGGAACGTCTCCAGCGAGGGAGACTCCACGGCCTCCCTGGGCAGCCTGCTCCAGCGCTCTGCCACTCAATATAAAGAAGTTACTCCTCATGCTGAGGTGCAACTTCTTGTGTTTATGGCCATTGCTCCTCAACCTGTCACTGGGCACCACGGTTTTGGCACCCAACCTCGAGATATTTATATGCATTTTGCTACTGATACTTTTAATACTAACAGGACACCCAAAACTCTGTTTTGGTACATCATTCAAAGCATCGCTGTGAGAGACTGGATTTGTATCGCACTGGAGCCAGCTGGGAGTCCTCATGGTCAGGGCCTGCATGCCAAAATGCCTATTTTCTCACTAAATTAAAAGAAATCTCTCGGGGAAAAAAAAGTCCGTGGCTTTTTCTCTTTATGTGACTTCAAGGTATTAAGAACCAAAGGCTCTGCAAAAGTTTGCTGAGAACTCTTGGGAGTCTAATAGATAAGAAAAGCACCTGGGCAGCGCATGGCTCGGACCCAAGAGTTTTTCCAAACACCATGCTGCTCTGCAGCTAAATAAATCACCATTTCCCCTCCAGCTTTTGCGAGGGGAGAGGGAAACGCACTTTAGCGCCTGGGCGACAAAACAACGGTTCCAACGAGAGACGCCCTACAAAGCGACCACTCGCCAGGGCTTCTCCTTCCCGCTGGATAACCTCCGCCCCACGTCACCCAGCACGGCTCCCGCCCCCCCGCACCCCCCACCCCGCTCACCGGCGGCGGAGATGACGGCGAAGAGCTCCTGCAGGGAGGGCAGCAGCGTGTCGGGCTCTGCCTTCCAGACGCTCCGCAGCAGCGCGCTAACCTGCGTCACCTGCGACACGTAGAGGCGCAGCTCGGCCTCCCGGGTGCCCTGGCTCTGGAAGTGCGCGATGCTGCGCACCAGCTGCTGGCAGAAGGCGAGCGAGAGCTTCCTGCCGCGGGGCAGGCACTGCGGGAAGTCCCCCAGGAGCTGGCAGAGGCGGGCGCAGAGCGGCGGCGCCGGGCGCTCGCACACCAGGCGCAGCGCCTCCACCTGCAGCAGCTCGAAGAGCTCCAGCACCGAGGGGCAGCTCATGATGAGGCGCAGCCCCGCCTGGATGTAGTCGAGGATGGCGGGGTCGCGGTTGCTCAGCTCGCCGTAGCCGCGCTGCAGGAGGCCCAGGACGAGCCCGCGGTTGAAGAACGCCTCGAACTCGGCGCGGTGGAAGCGGCCGTAGGCGTCCAGCACCTGCCTGCCCACCTGGCGCTGGAAGGGGTCGGGGCCCTGCAGCACTAGCCGGGTGCCGAGCGCGAACATGGCGCGGCACTGCGCCTGGCTCAGCGGCGTCTCCGCCGACTCCACCACGCGCCGCACGATCACCCGCTTCAGCGGCAGCGGGTGCGACGAGCTCACCAACCCCTCCAGGATCTTGTCCATGGCTCCGGGCGCATCGGCCGGGCGGCGGCAGCGGCGGCGGCGGCGGCGACGAGCGGCGGCCGCACCAGGCCTCGGCGGGGAACAACGCTGCCGCCGCCGCCGCCTCCCCACCGCGGCCCTCCCGCCGCCCCGCCGCGCAATGTCCGCCGCCCCTCCCGCCGCTGCTGCTGCTGCTGCTGCTGCTGCTGCCGCCGCCGCTCCCCCTCCGACTCCCCTCCACGCCCTGCGCCCCCGGCGCCGCTCCCGGCCCCGGCCGAGCGCTTGTTCCACCCCCCCCTCCCTCCCTCCCCGACCCCGGAAGCGGAGCGGGCGCGAGCGGGAAGCCGGCCCCCGCCGCGCACGCGCCGGAGGTAACGCCCCGCCCCCCTCCCTGGCCGTGGGGGGGATGAGGGAAGGGGGAAGACGCGGGGAGCCTTCCCCTCAAAGCCGGTGTGGCTGCTGCGCTGTCGCCCGCTACCCTCTCCCCCGCCGTCCCCCGCTGTTCACGCGTGCGAGGGTGTTCCCGTCCTTACCCGAGCCTACTCATCTTTTATTTTTGACCCAGTTCAGCGCCAGTTTTCAGCACTCAGGTCTTGTTAATGTGTCTCGGGTTTTCATACCACTGAAAGGTTTCCAGCACGAAGGGGAAAAAAAAAAAAACCAAACAAAACACACAAACGAACAAAAAAGAAACAAACCCACAACACCAAAAATCCAAAGTTCCACAGTTTCCAAGAGCTGAGTGTTATCATACAATCACAGAATGGTTTGACTCGGAAGGGTCCTGGAAAAGTCTAGTTTCAGTCTCCCTGCCAGGGGCGGGGATGTCATGCAGTGGGTCGGGATGCTCGGGGCTCCATCCAGCTCGGCCACGTTACCTCTCGAGGACCAGGTGATGTGAAAAGTCACAAATAATTTGTATTAAAGCGATAATCACCTGTGAACAAGCTGGAAATCAAACTCCGCTTCCTCACTCAAAATCCTTTAGGCCAGTTCACCGGTGACATAAGCTGGGTGTGCTGGCAAAGCCTTCCCCTTGGTTCTCTCTGTTGCTCAATCCAAAGACCGTCGTGCTATGAGGTTGAGTAATACCTGTTATTCAGCATCAGAAGAGTAGGGAAAATGAGCCCAATTAATTTGAAGTAGAACAGGTGCAGAATCTTAGCTGGAGTTTAGCTTGACAAGAGATACTGTTAAGGGTAAGAAAAAAGACCCCTAAACACTACAGGGACAGCTGTAAGAATCTACAGCTGCCCAAAAATCCCAAAACATGAAACCAAGAAGTTCAGAGTTAACTTGAAAATTAAGTCCACTGTTTATAAAATATTTAAATTGCCCAATTAAACTGCTCAGATAACTTGAACTTTCCCCCTCTGTCCTCCAGATTTCTGTTTGCTCCTCACAGATGTAAAGTCTGGTTGTAGAAATCTCTGTGCAATTACCGAGTTGCTACAATCCAGTATAAATTGTGTTAATCGAGGGCTTTTTTGCAAGAACTTAACAAAGGTCAGAGACTGTTGCCACCAACATCTTAATTATCTAAACTGTGTTTGTAAAGTACACTATACTGGAGTGATATGTTATTTTTTTTTTCCAAAAGGACTTTGTAGTTAATAATATCCATAAAAAAATTAACCTTGAAGAAAGTGCTGGATTGAGTTGCTTGTATACCTGTGGACTTTAATGCTCTGCCATTTGTGATCTGTACTAGGAATGTTTTAATTTTCTCAAGTTCACAAGTACAAACTTTCTTTTTATTTATTCATTTATTTATTTATTTTTCTAGGTATCTTCTGAAGCCAGAAAGGGAGAGGAGTCCACTCAGGAGCCCACATCGAACTCTGAAAGTAGGAAGAACTGAAAACAGGATGCCAGCGACACATTTATGAAAGGGGGTAAAGTGAGACCTTAACTGGGCAGAGAATCATGTTGACAGTGGAAGGAGAAAGAAAGTTTGGGGGTTATGAGAAGCTGCAAAGGTGCTCAGATATATTGGGGTTTATGAGAAAGAAAGTAGGGGAAGAGAATTGAAGAAAGGCAGGTGGTATCGCAGGCTCATGGGGCGTATGATGGAGTAGGAAAAACAGAGGGATGACGAGACAAGCAGTAGCCACAAATAGCAGAGGAACAAATGTGAAAGAGCTGGAACAGTTATCTGAAAAGCTGGAGGCATACAGATGGCTTGCAGGCACATGAAGATTTGAGGAATGCTGAAAGCAGGAGCAGCTGCAGATTAGCAGGATCAGGGGCTCCTGTGAGCTGGGAGATCAAAGGTCTCAGCAGGGTGTCAGTGCTTTGCCCTTTGTTTACACAGCGCTGTGGATAGGAAGGCAGGCAGTGCCCACTGCTTGGAATAAGAGATCAGTCCTTCCAGCAGTCTGGGACCATTCTGCCTGAGCCTGGTCACAGCAATTACTGTGTAGAGGAGGCAATTTCTCCCAAAAAGCCACAGAAAGGTCTGAAAATCTACAGCCCTGATAAGAATTACAATTGATAGCTAGAACTATGTAGTTGTAGGGAGGGTAATTCTAGCATAGGAACTTGGGAGTTGTAATCTTGTTTGCATCCAAGTGTGCATACTCCTTATTTAATGAATGTATTTCAAGTAATAGAACTGGCACTGAAAAACAAGTGGTTCAGAGTTACGATGTTTGGTTGAGTCACTGAATGTGCCTGTGACCTCAGAGCTAAGAATAACCTGGACTGTGGGGATGATTCCAATCACAACCTTACTATTAGATATAAAATTACCAATCTCTAATTACAAGCTAAATTTTGGAACATTGACTGTTCCTCTGTTTACAGTGAAATCTAAATCCTATCTGTAAATATGTCACTAAATTGTGACAAAATGAAAAATAAATTAATTCTGTAGTGAATAAAATATATCTTCAAATATTTTCTCAGAAAAAAGTAAGAAAAAATCCCCCTCATGTTTCATCAAGAGCAAAAATTATTGTTAAATAATAATTGCTCTTGCCATGAAACAAAAATTATTGTTAAATAATAATTGCTGTTACTGTGAAACAGTACAAATAGCAGCAGAAGGTTAACCACAGTGGCATCTCTGTAATAACTCAACAATCTTAGAGACAGTAAGGCAAAAAGGAAACTTTTTACTAAGAATTTTGGATTAAAGATATCCTGACAGCCTACAGGCATTTTTGGCCTTATGCACGAGATGAATGCTTTCTAACAGAACGTTTTGTAGGTAAGGGGGCTGTCCTAAAGGCTAGTGAGGCGCTGGGTGCAACATCTGCCCATTCCTTGTGACACCCACATGAACCAGTCTAACATGCTGGACTTCCTGCTGGTGCAGAGGTATCCACACTGGATGTACAGTGAGTTCAGTCTCCCTGAGTGGCAAGATCCCACACACCTGCAGGAGGTTCAGGGTGTCTTGGTGATGAGCACCATGTGGCTTGGCTGTGTGGTTGCATCACTGCTAAATTTGGTGCAAGGCAGGCACCAGGAAGCCAGGGGAGATGAGGAGATGCCTTCTCTTCTCAGAGAAGTGCTATTAGAACAGTTCCACTGTAACATGAAACTGCACCGTGAGTCAGAAGCTCCTGAGCGCCGATCATGGCCTCGGTATCTACTCCTTGCGTGGCTGCAAACAGCTTATTTAACTGCAGGTCGGAATCTGCTGAGTGTAAAGAGTAGTAGCCTGGTACTTGAGAGCATTGTAAGGATCAATTAGATAATGTTTGCTAGGTATTAATTAAGTATTTTAATTTTGGAGTGTTGATTAAAAATGCCTGAATGTTGAATCATCGTGTTCTAGTTGTACACTGTCACATGTCCCAAAGGTTTATTCATCTGATAAACAACAGGGCACGGGTTTATTTATCCAAAAATCAAGACAGCACAGTGTGTGGCCCCAGTGTCTTACTGAAACCTGTTATCATGATGCAATTATTTCTTTTTGAGGAGAGAAGCTTTCATTTGATGAAGCTGTTTTGCCTCCTGCAGATCCAATCTGCCATGATTCAGTTTTGCATATATAATATAAATATATTTGCCATGTCAAGGAGCAACCTCTGACTGAATGTGGCTTTATTACTAAATCTGTATTATTTTTTCTCAGTTGTAACAGAAAGATGTTGCAGAGATTGCATTTGGTATTCAAGACCTGTGCAGTAATTGCCTTGAAAGGGGGGAGCTTCAGACAGGTGACTATTAACAGCTGTGATTAAAGGCTGCAGTCCAGCCGTGGTGGGAGATCTAGGTTGCTCCTCAGCATTTTTGTGGCAATAATCTGCCCCAACATTAGGCTGAGACACTGAAAAGTTTAAGGAGAAACAGGCCTCAAAAGACCTCCAGTGAGGATTGTGAAGCCAGAAAGGTGATGCCTTAAAAGGCAAGCATATCCACATGAGATAAATGGATAGACTGGATCTACCACTGAAAATTTCCAAGAGTAAGAAGCATCTCTGTGGTTTAGCATCTCTGTGGCTCAGATTTATTTTGGCTGAAATACTGTCTAGACTCAGGCTTCTTTGCCAGATACCTCTGCCTTTTTCACCAAGTCCTCAGTCTCACTTAGGGGTTCAGCTGTTTCACTGTGATGAGTGTGTTTTGTATTTCATCCTTTTACTCCAGAGGATAACTGGCAAATCTTTGCACGACATCTTTCTCTCAAATCTCCATTACATGCACTAACCAATTTGCTTGTTACCAAATCTACTATTCTCACTGATGTCTACCTCACTGCACACCCTAAAGAAGGTCAGTGTACTACCCATAGCAAAACAATGGTGCTTAGATTGATATTAGAGCAATTGGAAATTTAGCTGTGCATTAGACTCTCCTTGGCTGTTCTTCACTTATGTCTTTGTGAAATTTATAATTATATCAGGGAAATCCCACAGAGCTCAGGAAGGTACCCAGACATTCACAGCAACTACCCAAAGGCAATGCATATGCCAACAGCTTAATGTTTCACCAGTGAGATGTGCATAACTTTTCAAAGCCCTGTCAATCTAAAAACTGAACTTTTGGTG